CTAATATGAAAGGGGTGGGGCAGATAGGGTGCACCTCTGGTTTGGGGTTTCTCCTCAGCTGGCATTACAACCCTGAGCTGGATTACATAGAGTAGCCAGAAACAGTTTATGTGTTTTAAAGATTTTTTTTTTTTTTTACCAATAGAGGGTGTGTATGTGGGGTGTGTGTATGTGTGTGTGTGGGGGTGTGGGTGTTGGGTGGGGTTGGGTTGTGTGCATGAATATGCGACAAGAATTATAGGAGGAGTGAGTGCCAGACCACTCACATCTTCCAGCTGACCACAAGAAGGTAAAGTGGACCAGAAATCCTTTAGCTATCACTCCCTGCCCAGCCCATTCCCTGATGGGCCTGAGATGCAAAGGGCCACATCACAGAAGGATACATTTCACTCAGACCGTCACCAGTCTGTCTTCTCCTAGCCACACTCCAAGACTGGGAATGGGGAAGAGCACAGAGGCCCCTGGAAACCTTTTCTTGCACTGTAAGAGCTGGTAGTAAGACTTATCAATCCAAACTACAGCAATGGTAGGGACCCAGAAGATAGGACAAGGTGATGGGGACGTGATCAGGAGTGAACAGCAAGCAGAAGGGGGCAGGAAGGAAGAAAATCAGGAAAGGAGGAGGGGACAAGGAGAAAAAGCAGGAACCACAAGTAGCTGTGCACTGGCTTGAGTGCGAGTTGAACTCCCCAGGTCCCTCTCTTGTATCTAGTTCCCCAAAGTGCCTGACTCACCCCCTCAATCTAGAGGATTCTGCCCTTGGCCTTTCATAGTTTGCAGCCTCCATGTTCCCCAGAATACATCTGAGAAGGCATCTGGGCAAAAAATATTCCTCGGAGGTCCTTGGATCACCATCACCCAGGATTTACTGGCCATATTATATGTACACTGTATGTGTGTGTGCGTGCATGTGTGTATGTGTATACACGCAGTAGGCATGTGAGCGTGCGTGCGAAGAGGGGTACATATACACATGTACTACGCAGTATATATACACTGTGCATATATATATACAGTATATATATATGTATATATATATCTCTTTGTACATTCATATATATATATAGTACAGAACTTTGCTTTCTACCAAAGAAAAGTTTTGGGAGTTGCTGTCTCTACTCCCGAAGCAATGCCCAAGGATTGTAAATGAAGCATGGACCCACTGCTGCTGTCTTCAGACTAGCATTAAGAGGAGGGTCCGGGCGAAGGGCACCAGCAGGAGGTTCTGCTGCTGAAGGCAGCTGGGTTAATTCCAGATGTCTGCCTGCACAGCTGGAGCATTTGGGGGAAGGGATCAGCTACTTCATGCTGTGTGATGGAGGAACATTTGCAAAAAGCCTGAATAGTAAATGTCTCTCCCAGCCTCCTCCCCCACCATGGCTTCCTAACGGGAAAAAAAAAGGAGAAATAGGAGGAGGAGAAGAAGAATGAAGGGGAGGAGTTGAAAGCCCCCAACCAAGGACTGGCCAGCCTACAGCTGTTTTTAGTCTCTGCCTCCCTCTGTGTTTACGGAAGGGGCACAGCTCCTGGACACCACATATGGCTAATCTCTCAGTACATCCTCGAACCAGGCCAACTTTCCTCCTGCCTGCCAGGTCCCAGGCTTTTAGTATTCTTTCTGAAGCAGGCAGCCGTGTGGCTCCACTGAGAAAGAGGCCATTCTTGTCCCTTGAAGGAGCTGCTTGCTCCAGGCTATTGGCTGAGGGAGGGCTTTGCTTTCCTAGAGATGCTGTTGTGGCTGGGCTGATACAACAGGCTTAATAAAGAAATCTTCCTGGGCTCTTCCTCATTGGTTCAAGTAAGAGGAATTCTGACTGGCAGGCAGTGTTAGGAGGAAGGAGAGAGAGAGAGAGAGAGAGAGAGAGAGAGAGAGAGAGAGAGAGAGAAGGAAGCCTTTGGGGAATTTATCTGACTGCCAGATGCCAAGTTGACCACTTTGGTCAAGAAGGTACAGAACAATAGCTGGATGATGGGAGATCAATGGTGGCTTCAGAAACCTTGGAGGAAAGACTGATGCTGAGACAAGTAGCCAAGAGGAGAGGCCTGTCCCAACCTGCGTTTTTCTACCAGCAAACTGGAATGTTTAACCATCTCTTAACTTTTAATCACATGTAGATATGTGTTACAACCCCTATTCTGACATTACCCTAATGATCTGGCTAATGTCCAATACGTACTCTAAACCCCAGCACTAAGAAACACTCTTTGGAGGTGAAAATACACCTTCCTTTCCTTATCCGATCTTGTGAATCACACATGTCTGTAACAATGTTTTCAGATACTAGAGTTTACAGGGGATACTGAACATTAGCCGTCCATTCTTGCTGGCTAATGCTAGATGCTAAGCTGATGTAGGCCAGTGAGCTCCCTTCTAGCTCTAAATCTGGTCTCGGACTGGTCTTGCAGGCCTCTTGTAAGGTTCTGGTCTTGGATATAAATTCTAACATATACAGGAGATACATGAGACCTGACCTAGGAAGGGGGCACTATTCCATACCAGCAAAGAGGACCAGAAACTATCTGACTGCTTTAAGAAGGTTGGCCTAAATGGGTTGTAACATTGTGATTGTTCCTTGTTTCTTCCACAGAAATGCCACACACACGAATCATCTCACTTAAAGTGCTTTTTGTACACTGCTGTGAGAATATATTGAAATATACACACCCATTTTTATATGGCTGTGTATGCATGTATTCTAGTGAAATGTATTCTAATGATGAATAGTAGCTAATAACCACAAAGGGAAGAGCAATTAGACAAGTTTGTATTTAAGGTCCTGTTAATTTACTTTAAAAAATAGTAAAATGAGGGACCATGAGTTAATAATAAATCGTTTGGCTTAGACTTAGTCAAAACTTTCATGCACTTCATGTGCTGGCACCTGTAATCCAAACAGTCAATTCTGAAGCATTTTCCTTCACCAAAGAAGTATAAACAGGACTCTGATTTACTAATTGTTCTTCCCTGCTCCTGACATTAGCTGGACACACATATATGTGTGTACACACACACAAACACATATACCAAGAAACTCCATTACATCATGGCTTGTCTTATTAGTGAATGGATTTGGCTATAGCAAAGGGTTAATCAGACCAGCTCACCCCAAACATTGTCTACCCAGTCAGAGCTGGGGACTTGTGGTGACCCTGTAAGCAGGAACTGGGGCTGTCCCTCAGTCCAAGGGCTACAAAGAGGGTACTCTTGTGTATGTTGTAGTGCATGGGGCACTCTTTGCCTGGCCCTGCCTAATCCCAGAATCACAGGATCATTCTTAGAACACAGAAGTTTGCCTGCTTTCATAGGAACTGGGAGAGGGGGAGGAGAATGCAGAAACTCCTTTTTTTTTCTGAGAAGCCTTCAAGAATCAAACTTAGCTCCTCAATAACAAGGTCACTTCAGCAGAGCTGAGAGGCTAGGGCAGGCCTGAAGCATCATGTTTGAGCCAAGTATTGGAGCCTCCACTTTGTTCCCCCACCCTGACGAATGCCCTTCATGCAGGGCGATCCTCCTGCTTGAGAAGAACCTCTCAGGCCAAATCATGCCTTCTTTAAGGACACTTTCTTCCTTCTGGTATTTCCTGTTACCCACTTCTCTGGCCAGTCCCCCAAAGCACCACAGTGTCCCCACCACTCCAGGGGGAATGAAGAGAGGAGTTGAGGTGTGACCTGAATGGAGGCCACCTTGTGGGGTCTTTGGTTAATGCTTCCAGGCACAGTTTCCCTCTCCCACCCTGGGGAGATGAGACATTGCCCAGAATTGCCATTGGAAACAAGCTCACAGTTTCTGAAAGGTCCTGAAGGTCAGGGCCTCTTGTGGTCACTTCTTTAACCACTTGTCCTCTCCACATTCCCAGATGTCAGCCTCTCCAGGATGCTCTCTAACTCAAGGCTCAAATGCTCTGAAAAAAATGAGACCTGGCTTCTTCTTTAGCCTGGGCCAAGAGCTCATTTCTCCTTCATTTGTCCTCCCAAGAGAACAGAGGGAGACAGATAGAAAAGAGTCAGCGTCAAAGGAGACAGCACGTGACCAATAAAACCTTCACGGTCCAAATGAATATCACCCTGGCTCTGGCAATGTCTTGGTTACCCCATTCAAGAACATCTGCTTTTTCCATATTATATGTTTTCCTGCCTGGTTTTGGAAGGCAAGTACTGGTGGCTGGAGTCTCTGGACCTTTCTCTAAGAGGGGCAAGAAGACATCTGTCCCTTGGGCCTGGAATAGCTTGTTGAAGAATTCATTGTGGTTTCCTCCCCCTACCCTAGTCTTCTCAGTCCATTACAAAAAGAGGTGTCTCATCTATAAGGAGTTCACAGTGTTGCTTCTTCATGGGCCATTCCATCACCACCAACATGGAGCCCTGTCTAAGGCCAATGGGCCTCAAATCCTCTTGGCTGCTCAAGATGAGGTCAGCAGTCAATGTACAATAGAATCTTCCTTCCAGCGCATCGGTCCTGGGCATGTATGGATGTCCATCTGTCCACTGTTGGCCATACCCCCTTGATCAAAGTGGTTGCTGTTGTGTTTTTTTCAATTGTCACGCTCCTGGAAGCCCATGGGACAGAGTTTTAAACATGGAGACTTGAGATCTCCCCAGAAGGCTGCTGGCATGGAGCCCTTTTATCACCAGAGGGTCCATTGTATGAATCCCTATCTAGAAGATGGGGAATCTTCAGCTTGAGGGAGGCGTGTGTGCACATAGGTGTGTGTGTGTGCGCGCATAGGTGTGTGTGTGTGTGTGTATCTGTATGTGCATTCTTTATCTTTGCCTCTTCTGCTTTAGAGAAAGAGAGAGACAAACAAGAAGCCCCTACCTCCTACCCACCCAATCCCCTGAACCACAGGTTGGGGTCTGGCAGGTTCATTGTAGGTGGGCAGGTGGAGGTGGGGCCAGCTTCTTTCACTGACCGCAGACTTGGAAGGGGGATCTTTCCTTCTGTCTCCATCCTTTGCCCTAAAGGAGCTGCCTCTTGCCAACCCCCGGCCCTTGCCCCAGCCCTAGGGGAACACGGGTGCCAGAGCAGTATTGCAGGTCATACTGTCCTTGCCTGGGAGTCTACGGTCATTGAATGTGTGCATGTTGATGACAGCGTCGGCTTTGACCATGACTGGTGGCTGAGGCTTGTGTTTGACCCGTCGCTGGCAGGTGAGGGAGAATCTGATTTCGTCAGCCACAGTGCTGCAGAATGAACGCTGGAAGGAAGAGGGAGGAGGAGGCCTGGTGTTATTCCCTGTGTGGTACAGAGGGCAGAATTATACTTGGGGTAGCACCTGGCTCTTTGAAGGAGTTCAGAGACCAAAATTCTGATCTCAATTCTGCCACTAACTAACTCACTGTGTGATCTTGGCTATATCTACTTCCCTACCTGACCCTCTGTTTTCCCATCTGTGCAATGGGGAGATTGGATTGTATGAACTCTCAGGTCTTTCCCAGCTCTGACATTCTATGTTCTCAAGGCCCTCCCAACTGTGACATTCTATGTTCTAAGACCCCTCCTAGCTCTGACACTGTGTTTTAAGGTCCCTCCCAGCTCTGACATTCTGTGTTCTAAAGCCCCTCCCTTCTTTGACATTCTATGTTCTAGGGACCCCCAGCTCTGCTATTCTGTATTCTAAGAACCCCCCAGCTCTGACATTCTATATTCTAAGACCCCTCCTAGCTCTGATATTCTCTGTTCTGAGACCCCTCCCAGCTCTGACATTCTATATTCTAAGACCCCTCCCAGCTATGATACTGTGTTCTAAGTGTCCTCCTAGCTGTGACCTTCTGTGTTCCAAGGTCCCCCAGTTCTGACCTTCTGTGTTCTAAGGTCCTACTCAGTTCTGACCCTTCCCAAGTCCTCTTCCCTCCCTTGACCTTCTCCCCTCAGCCCAGCTCTGCTCAGTCATGGTCTCAGGTATGTCCTCTCACCCCCACTCCCTTGGGGAAGGGGTTACCTGTTCCCGCTCGGCCGTTTTTCGGAGTTTGTAGATGAACTCGCCCACAGCCACCAGCACAGAGAGCACCAGCCCTGCAGCAAGCACAATGAAGATGCCCCCAATCTTCTGGATGCCCAGGGCACTAGCCTCCTTGCTTTCCTCCTCTGGGCAGCCGTTGCCCCGCCACCACTTCTCCTTCATGATGTGCAGCTTGTCCTCTTCCTGGAGCTGAAGGATGGCAATGGTGATCTTGTCTCTGTAGGGGGAACCTTGGACAGCGGGGCAGAAGAAAGCACAGTCAGGGGGGGCTGGACCCAACCTCTTCCTGACCTGGCTCAGGGCCCTTTGTGGACAAAACAGCAGCAGCAGCAGCCACAACAATCAAAACTCACATTTCTATAGTCATTGTCTCAGTCCAGCGAGGTAGACCAGGAAAATGAGACTAGGGAGGGGAAGTGATTTGTCCACAGTCACATCGCTAAGTGACAGAGACTTGAACTATCTATCTTCTGACTCCAAATCCAGGTCAGTGAACTAGCAGGTCTTATCTGCAGATGCACATATGCTGCTGGAGTGGTGAAGATAGGGGAAAGAAGGAGGGGAAAAAGAGCCTTTGCTGGGGTAAGGTGCTTATCTCTAGCTCTTTCCCCTCAGCACATTAGCCCTGGTCTAAGGCACTGGGAGACCTGGATTTGAATTTCAAATTCTGCCACTGTGTGACCTTGAGTAAGTAACTTCTCTCATTTCCTCAGTTTTCACATCTCTGAAATGGGGATAGTAATCCCTGCCTTGACTCCCACCCAGGACTGTTGGGAGGATCCTTTGAGTAAATGGATGATTAGAAACAGTATAAAAGTAAGCTACTATGGGTAAGCTACCAAAGGTGAGCTACTATAAATCAGTGGATCTTATGATCAAGTCATCACTCAAATATAGGCAGAGAGCCCCACAGTGTTGCAGAGGAGGATGCAAGCACGAACCATATGGTCCCTTCCTCCTTCACAGTATTGACATGGAATGGAACTTCTCAGGCTAGAAGAGACCTCTGGAGGTCTTCAAACTCATCCCCTCATCTCCAGGTAGTGCTAAATTTCAACTCTCCAAGCTCCCTAGATATGTGGTCCCAAGCAAGTCATTTCTCCCCTTTTCTTTCCCCACAGTCCCTTCTCTGAGCTGTGAATGATGGGCAGCTTGCTCTTTGGTGAGGGGCAGTGGTGGGGACTGGATACCCACTCACCCATAGGTGTGCCAATCCCATAGCCTTTGGAGTCGATGAGGCCTCCAATTTGGGTGAGGTTGCAGTTCCTCTGAGTGATGTACTCAATGGCTGTGGATTCCATGAGCAGGGCGTAGTCAGCTGTAAGGGCTCTCTGGATCCCCTCCTCATTGTTCTTTACCAGGGCTGAGGGTTTGCTGCTCATGAATGCCCACATCTTCTCAAATGTGGAAATCTTGGATTTCTGGGAGCACCACCACCACCATGGCAGCAAGAGAAAGAGGGAGGGAGGAGTTAGGGGACCATGGGAAGGGAGTGAGGGAGTATAAGTGGAAAAGACAGAAAGGATTCAATGCCGGAAGGAAATAGGAGGACATAGGAGATGGAAAGAGAAGGAATTGGGGAAGTAAAAGGAGGGAGAAGGATGAGGAAAGGGGGAAGGGAGGGGAGAGAGGAAGGAGGAGGAAGGTGAGCAAGGGATAAAGGAGGGAAGTAAAAAGAAAGGAGAGAACAAGAAAGAAGGATGGAGGAAAGATGAGTGAGAGAGAGGAGAAGGAAAGAAGAAAAGACAGAAGTCAGATTAGAGAGGGCAGGGTAGAGAAAAAGGAAAGGAAGGAAATAGGAGGAAGGAAAGAAAGGGAGAAGCCAGAAGAGAAAAAGTAAGAAAGAGGGAGAATGGAGGCATAGCAAGGGAGAAGGAGGAAAAGAAGGGAGGGGTGAAGGATTGTGGAAGAAGAAAGAAGGTCGGAGGGAAGGTGAATGAGAATGGAAGGAGATGAGGCAGAAAGTAGGGTAGTTATAGGAGGGAGGAAAAAGAAGAAAGGAGAGGAAGGAAGGAAGGAAGGATAAAAAGGAAAGAAGGAAGGAAAGATGGGAAAGAGGGAGGGAAAGAGAAAAGGGGAGGGAAGGAAGAAAGGAAGGATAGAAGGAAGGAGGTAGTGAAGAGGGAAAAGAAGGGAAGAAGAAGAGAGGAGAGTAAGAGGGAGGATGGAGGAGAGTGGAGGAAGATGAGGCAGAGGGAGGAAAGGGCAGTCATAAGAGGGAGGAGAGAGGGGAGATGAGAGAGGAAGCAAGGAAGGAAGGGAGTTAGAAGAGAGTAGAGTAAGTAAGGGGGAGGACGGGGAAGAGACAAGGGAGAACAAGGAAAGGGAAGGAAAGAGGAAAGATGAAGAAGGAAGAGAGAGGAGGGAGGAGGGAGACAGAATGAAGCAGAGTCAGAAGAGGAAGGGAAGCAAAGACTCAGCTGGACGCCCTTCCATGCAGCTGTTCCCTCCTGGAGGAGTATCTCTCTAAGCAGGCTGGTCCCCACCCAAGACTACTGAGACCCGGAAGATCAGGAAGGAGTGGCAGTGGGATCCTACTAAGACTTCACCCAGCACAGCCTCATCCAACCTCCCCCCAAGTCTCAATGCCTGTCAGAGACTCAACACAGCAATACAGGAGACAACTGGTGTGAGCAAATATGGCCTGGACCATAAAGGCCTGGGTTTTAGTCTATGAGTAACTGGCTGTGCAGCCTTGGGCAAGTCCATTTCCCATCTCTGAACTGTCCCATACTCTGAAAGAGTAGGACAAGATGAGCTATGTCCCCTTTGACCTCTGCTAGTCTGTGATTCTACAGTTGCCTTGGTGATCCACAGTGAATTGTAATAACAGCCTAGCTTCCCACCTCTGACTCCTTTCCATTCCTGATAACCTCCCTCCCTCACCAGGAGGGACCAGAATTGCAAGCCCCTGGTCTATGCGGAGAAAGCAGTCACAACCAAGAGGGTGAGACCACTGTGTGGGAACTCAGAGTACAATCTGAAGCCAAAGGGAAGTGAGTCTGGGGTTATCCAGACCACTGCTTCCCTCTGTCAGGTGATAGAAGGTTGGCTGCATTTATATTTTCTCAAAGGAACTCAAAGCATTCCGGAAAACAATTCATTTTATTCTCCACTTTGCTCTCACTGGGACCAGGGAGGAGATCAGTCACAGTCTCTGACCCTGGATTTAACTACCTTCCCCTATCTATGCTCTTAGTCATGCTCACTCCTGTCTGTCTGCATCTGGTTGCCTAAGATCCCATCTCCCAGGCTGCATATGTACATAGCCTGATGCCACATGACATTGACATTGATCACTAAAAGTCCCACTCATACCTTCATCCTTCCACACAAGTCCCAGACCAGGGCTATTTGTGCAGATTTTACATGTACTTAGAACTCCCCAGAGGATCTGTTAACAGGTCACACAGAAATGTAGGGAGAGGGGACCCTCCCTTTCCTACTTTCCACTAATGCCACTAGCCCTTGGAGCTGCCAATCATCAGACCACTGATAGTTACAATTGTTATGGAACAACAGGCTGGTCCAAAAGCTGAGCCTATCAGTAAGAAGCTCACAGGAATGCTAGATGGCAATGTGTCTTTAGTCAACATGAGAAGACCCCAGACATTTGAGATCTGCAAACACAGATTGCTCAGTCGGCTAATGTCCCCAGGATGGTTAGGGACTTAGATTGGGCTGAGGCACAGAAGCATGGGGATGGATAGAAAGGGTTGATGCCATCATTTAGAATCCTCTTCCTGAGGCACAGAAAATTTGGAGACAATCATATTGCTCCAGAGCTCCCTAATCAAAGACCCTGGAGTCTTCTGGGGAGCCTAGCATGGCCAGAGTCATGTCCACAATGCTCTGAGTAGAAATACTCAGGGAAAGGAGATGGGCCAATCTTTCCCCATTGACCATGCTGAATCTGAAGCCCAGTCCATCATAGAACATTCCCTAGTTTAAGAGTTCTTAACCATTTTTGTGTCTTGGATCCACCTGGTAGTTTGGTGAAACCTATGAAACCATTCAGAATAATTTTTAAATGCATAAAATAGAATATATAGGATTGCAAAGGAAACCAATTATACTGAAATATAGTTATATATGTGTCTACACACATATATATCTATATCTACATGTCTATATCTACATATCTATAATCTCTACCTACCTACACAACAACAGACTGAGACAACAGATTAATGAGACAATGAGTAAGTACCTCCTGACCAATATTTCCTGCAGTTGGGACAAGCAACAGAGCACAGGAATTCTAGTGGCTTCCTTCTACTAATTATCTCCTGTTTATCTTCTATAGATTCTGTTTGTACATTGTTGTTTGCATGTTGTCTCCCCATTAGATTGTGAGCTCCTTGAGGGCAGGGACTGTCTTTACCTTTCTTTGTATGGGCCCTTAGCATGGTGCTTGGCTGTCATTAATAGATGGTTTATAATTAGTAAATGATTATTGACTGCCTGACTGGCTCATTTTTTAGGATAACAGGATTATAAGTCTAGAAATGGAAGTGACTTCAGGTGAGAGGAATACGCCCAGGAAACCCTAACTGTTATAACCCTTCTGTTCAATCATGCTCAAGAGCCCCAAGTGGCTGTTCCAAAGAGCCAGGATGGTATAAGGGAGAGAATGTTGGACCTAGAGTCAGGAAGACCGACCTGGGTTCAAATCCAGCCTCATATACTTCCTAGCTGTCTAACCTTGGGCAAGTCACTTAAACTCAAGTTTACTCATCCGCAAAATACGTGTACTTGACTAACTTTAATCTGTGATCTTGTACTCCTCTTTCCCATTTCATAGATGTGACCTCTATGCAGCTGTAGGACGTTGGGAGTCAGCCTCATGATATATATTGTGATTTTCACATTTTTTCATTTCCCTAGAAACTTCGGTTGATAAATAGCCTGGAGTGGAAGCACCTGCGTGGTCATCCACAGAGTCACCGTATCATTGCACAGACTTGACAGTAAGTGAGAATAGTAACTCGTATTCTATAATCCTGCAAGGCAAATGAAGTATTTTAGTTAATTCAGCTCTCTCACATCCCCCAGAGGGCTATTATAAGCTTGCTCTTTTCTGTTAAAGCCCCTTCCACCATCTCCCCTTAGCAGGGCACCTTAACTCCTACTTTATTAAAAAAAAAAAACAGAGGTCATCTGGCATGAGCTCCCTATTTTCTTCTGCTCCAGGCCTCAAACCTCCTTTATGCTACCCCCGCATTGTCTCCTCCTTTGCTGTAGTCTCTGAGGGATAGATATTTTGCTCTCCATCCCTCTATTTTGACCTTGATCTCATTTCCTCTCACCTCCAGAAGCTGGCTTCATTATATCATCTCACAACCCCATCTTCAGCATCTCCTTATTTGTTGCTTTTGAACCCTCTTTGTACAAACATCACCAGATTTCCCCTTTCTTAAGAACCTCTTATTCCTTATTGTACTATAAGAAATGATAAGCAGGGTGGTTTCGGAAAAACCTGGCAAGACATATATGAACTAATGCAAAGTGGAGTAAGCAGAACCAGGAGAACATTGTACATAGTAACAGCAAAAATGTAAAAATGATCAACTGAAAAAATCTTAGCTACTCTGACCAAGACAATTCCAAAGAACTCATGATGAAAAATGTTATCCATCTCCAGAGAGAGAACCTATGAACTCTGAGTGTAGATTGAAGCATATTTTTTTCAAAATAAATTATTTTTCTTGGGTTTTTTTTGTATGTGTTTTCTTTGGCAACATAGCTAATATGGAAATATGTTTTGCATGACTTCACATGTTTAATTGATATCGTATTAATTGCTTTCTCAAGGGGTGAGGGAGGAGTGGGAGGGAGAGAGAGAATTTGGAACTCAAAAATTTTTAAATGAATGTAAATTTTAAAAATATGTAATTGGGTAATACTTCATGAAATAAATACATGAAAAAATACATTTCAAAAATCTCTTATTCCAATTATTTCCATCCATTCTTAATCCCCATTTTTAAACACCTCTCTTCCTACTCACTGCCAAAGTCCCAGAAAGACTTGTTTACAATCCTTGCCACCTTTTCAATTCCCACATATGTTTTAACCTCTTCCAATCTGGCTTCTGATACCATCACTTCACTAAAATTTCTCCATCTCACATTAGTAATGATCTTTTAGCTGCTGAATCCAATGGCCATTTCTGAATTCTAAACTTTCTTGACTATGTTGCAACTTTTGATTCTATGCAGGATGAATTTCAAATCTCCACATCCAGCTCTAATCTCTCTCTTGAGCTCCAGGACCACATTACCAGCTGCAATGCAGCCTTACTACATCTCTTTCCTCCCTAACCAGTTCCTTTTCTAAACTGTCCTGTTTCTGTTGAGGGCATCACCATCTTTCTTTTTTTGTTGTTGTCATTTTATTTTTAAATTTATTTTTAATCCAA